ACATTAAGAAGGCAAGAATCGTTACTATCGAAATATACAACTTTAATGTTGACAATGAAAAAACTGAAAGAGTTAAGAGATTTTATATTCCTGGATTCAATCATCCACCTAAAGGGAGACAGCAGTGAAGAAATCAGAAGATTGAGACTCAGAAGGGCAGCAATGAAGCCACATGAAAAGATCCTCCTGGGCAAAGATATGTCATTGAAGACTGGGGCCCAGATCACGGAATGTTCATAAACATTCCAACTTTTCTTTGGTTTATGGGGGGGGGACACGAACTTCGCAGCATAAATGAAACTGTGAACATACAAGGATGTTGCAAGGAAGGGAGAAGGCAGCAGTACCAATAGTAATGTGTGAATAACTATGGGATGTCAAATTGATTTTGACAGGTTGTCCCTTCTCAGTTTAAACTGCTCAAATCTATTTTACTGTCCCTTCCTCTGGTTCTTCCCCCACAGCAGGGAATCAAACTTCTAACCACTGGGCCTGTAAGCCAGTGCCCCAACTCACTGAATGACCCAGTCAGCTTAGTCAGGTATTAGAACTGAGCATTATGAATGGAGCCCTGGGAAAGTGAGATGATGGAGGAGGAAAAAAAACTCGTTAAAAAAACCAACCCAAATGTGTGAACTTCAGGATTTGGGGGGTTTGCTTGGATCTGTCTGTTACATCATTTATATGAGAGTAGAGAAACTGAAGAAATAAAAACAGATGCGTGTGAATCCCTCCCGCACAGACATCATCAGGGCGCTCCATATCTCTGTATGTGCCGCTCTCCGAATTTCAAAACGGTCCTCTCCATTACACCGTGTTCTCGGTTATAGCTTTTAGGCTGTTAAATTAATGATGGAGGCCAGGCTGGGATTTCCCCTCTCTGGGGTTTGTTTTTTTAATAAACCTTTCTTCCTCCATGCCCCTTTCTTATTCATGCATGTAAAGCCACCCCTTCCAGTAAGACGTGATCCTGAGCCAGTTTCCTCATTCCACGTGAACGGGTGAGCAGCTCGCCAGCCAGCCTGTTTTCCATACCTGTCCTTCAACAGGTGATCCACGCACAAGAAGAAGGGGGTGTCGTGGAAAGAGCGTCAGATGAGGCCTCGGGGGAGATATGGGTTCATCACTCCATACTCAGGGGAGTAGGCCAGCAATGGTAAACAACTTCTTGAGCGCAAAACCCGAGGAGGCTTGCTATGAGCCAAATGTGACTTGATGGCGGTGGAAGCAACAATCAGCAAAACTGCTCTGCCTGCTTTTTGTAACAATTTTACCTGGCAAAGGGATATAGGCCTTGAAAACTTTTGCCGAGAATTTTGTGCCTTTTTAGCTACCCGGCTGGATAGCTCAGTGGTATCTCAGGTATCTGCCAGAGACTGGCAGTTCAATTCCGCACTTTGCCTTCTGCAAGATGAGCCAGCCTGGGAAGCCTTGGGCCAGCTGCCCAGCCTCAGAGCACCCCAGAAAAAGGGGATGAGAAACCACCTCTATGTACACTCTACTGTACCTGGGAAGCAGTGAAAAGGGTATTGTAAGTCAGAAATGCCTAGGCGGCACATGATTTATAGTAGTAAAAGTATTCATCCAACACATTTTGGAATGGGTCTAATTACCATCTTTACACCTAGTTCTTAAGGTCTCATCATTGTTCTAAAGCTGCCTAAGCTAATTGGCTGGATACTTCCGAAATTGAACAATGAATCCGACAGCTTCACTTCTTAGAGTTAACGACTGGCTGAGGCTCATTTATTTTATCAAACTAACTGGATTCGTGCGTTTCCGTGGGGCAGCGATGAAGCCACAATCAAGACATGTGCCAACCAACCCACAGCTGGATTTCCCTTCCATTTCTGATGCATCATCTTTGGGATATATCAGAAATAGAAAGTAACTTAGCTTTGTGGCTTTGTGTCACCTCCCACACTCTGCTCATAACCGGCTTTTAATCTAGATTAGAATGTGAGCAGAGTTATGGAGGATGAGAGGTTGAAAAAATGTTATTTTTTCAGAGTACAGCTCGCAGAATCTGGAAATTCTGGGGGATTAAGGTCCAAAAAAGTAACATCTCCAAACTCTAAGGAAGATCACACCCCGGAAGGTTACCAGGACTGGTTAGCATTTGAGTGCACCTTAGATTTAGATTTAGATTAGACATTCTTCAGTCTTGAGAGACTAATGGTAACGTGCTCTGAATAGAGGTCTTGGAACAGCGTCTAGTGTGGCTGAGGAGGCCAATTCGAGAGTGACACAATCCCTTCCACATGGAAGACAAATACAATCTGTCCCCTGTCCAGCTCCCTGGTTTTGCTGCTTTCGGGACAGCCTCTTGGCCTCAGCCTGCTGGACAAGGGTCTCTTCAAATTGGGAGAGGCTGTGATGCACCGCCTGCCTCCAGGCTGAACGTTCCACTGTCAGGGTTCCCCATCTGTTGAGGTCCATTCCCAAGGCCTTCAGGTCCCGCTTGCAGATATCCTTGTATCACAGCTGGGGTCTCCCTCTGGGGCGTTTTCCCTGCACTGATTCTCCATACAGGAGATATTTCAGAATCTGACCATCAGCCATTCTCATGACATGCTCGAGCCAATGTAGACGTCACTGTTTCAGTAATGTGTACATGCTAAAAATTCCAGCTTTGTCTTCCCCCTTTCTTCCCAGCCCCTCGATTCCAAGGAATCATTCATCAATTCCTGGGGGGAGAAGGGGAACCGCACAGCTCATGCTGCTCTCCTCCGATCTCCGGACAGAGGTGAGCAAAAGGTAGCCCTCCAGGTATGGGGTAGCCAGAGCAACCCCTGGTATGGAATCCCGGCAGCCGTACCAAGAGCTGGCGGGACACGACTTTGCCCGCCTTTGCCTTAAGATTAAAAGCAGAAGTGGGACACCTCGTGAAGCTTGAACCGCCCCACACCTCTGGGTCTAGAGGTATCGGCCATTTAACAAGTGATTTCTTCAAAATCAACAGTGTCTGGCTGTTTCTTGATGACATACAGTTTTTGCCTCTGCTCATCTGGGAAATCGTGCTCCTGAAGCCGATGGATGCTCCTGCACCAAATCAGGAACAGCGGAGGCCACTGCTTGGAGAACGAGGGGCTCCCCATAAAAATTCAGAGAAGAGGAGGCTCTCCATTAAGGAGACACCCCCCTTCGCCCCCAGTCTTGAGCCTATTCCAGGTTGATTTGCTTGATGGGCCAAGGCAGGACAACCTGAGAGTGTACTCTGTGCTTAATCCAGACACAAAATGCATTCTGATATAACCCTAGAACTAAGCCCACTAATATAGTTGATATAGTTGAAATATTGAAATTAATATAGTTGATAACAGACATTGCTATAAAATGAGCACAGAAGTAATTTCATCTGAAAATACAACGGAAATCCTGGAGCGGGTCCATTCTTCTCTGCCAAATGCGAACAAAACAATCTGTTTCCCCTTCCAAGTTCAGTTCCTTCGATAGGTTGCTTTCTGTGAGGCTCTTTAAAGTACAAGGTAAATAGAAACTGAAATTCCTGGGGTGCTAAATTCAAGATCCATTGGATTTACAAGACTTTACTTGCCTTCTAGCTGACATCATAAATGTTCCTTTCTGTAGGATGACTGGGGTGGGGGGATCCACTCTTTTTTTTAAAAAAAAAATTAAGACACAGATCCAACACTGCACAGTCCCCCCTCCTCCCCCCCAATCTATGTTCCAAAATTGCACTTTCTAGAAACCTTCAAAACAGCCACGGGGCACGTTGCTCCAGGGTTGTGTTTGTGGATTTGTGGCAAGCCTGAATTGTTTCAAGAACACACACACACCTGTTTTGCTTTTGTGTTTTTTTTTAAATAAAATGTTTTATTATAGAAGCACATTAAATTCATAGAAAAACATCTTGCAGTGCAATGCAAGTAACAGTCACTCCCTGCCATTTGCTTCTGTCGCCAAACGGATTTGCTGCTTCGTGAAGATCAGAGCGTTAAAGCTGTAGCAACCCTGAGTTTCAGAAAATCCAAAGATAAGGAAAAAAACCTCTGCTTCGCAAGACATGTACTTAAGACGATAGCAACTGCCCTCCAGTATCCTTTGCCAAATTGCTACTGGTCATCCCTTCCCTCGTGCAAGCAAC